AAGCCTGGGAAAAAGGCCTCCCAGGTTCTGTTCTGATCTCTAACAGACTTCTCATGGTTTATATACAATACAGTAATAGCAGCTCCAGTTTACGGACAGATAAATTGGGATACAAAGAAGACAAGTAACTCTCCCAAGGATTTACAGCAAGTCTTTTGCAGAGGCCTGGAACTCTTACTCAGTCCTTTGTTCAAATGGCTAAACCACACTGCCTTCTTTAGACCACAATTACTGCACAGGCCTGAATGACGTGACGTATCTAAAATTATATAGCTATACACTTATATGAGGGTCTATTAAAATAAAGATTGTGTAACATCTTCAGAATTCAATGCAAAGCTGATCAGTGAGTGCTCTACTGCTTCAAGACAGCCTTTTAAATTCTCTTCCATAGTAAAAGAGGCAGATCTAGTATTTTGTAATAAGAAACTAGAGGGAGACTTAATGGGATTTGAACATAAAACATCTGATGACAAATTCATATTGTAGTAACAAGCCTTCATTTTGCAGAACTGACATGAAAAAATAATGGCAACATTTATGGTTATGACAAATAGTACATATCAGCTCTCTCTGAGCATGTTGAACAGAGGAGGACTATACAGAGTAAGTCACAGACTCATGTCAAATTTCAGGCATAACTGAGTAGATTAAATTTTGAATTTTGTCATGTCTCAAATGAGTTTCCTACTTCTAAGCGTGGCACCTCAGCCTGTGATCTCCTTAGCTTCCCTCAGCAAGTTGTGCACTCTCTGCATCCAAAAAGCACAGCCAGACAGGGAAAATGCTGGTAATGTAAGAAATTACATGGGAAATTTAATGGTTGTGCTTAGCAATACTGTGAAGTTAAACATTCTGGGTTCTCCTTGAGAGTTAGAAGGAAAACCACGGGTTTGCTGTGATTACTAGGGGCACTACTGTGAAAAGTGATTTCAAATTTTCATTTAAACATTGTGTGCCCGGGTGTCTCCATTTGCCTTAAGTGAGAATACACCCATGCCTAAGCCAGATATGCAGCTGCCTGATCTCCTGATTGTGAGTGTGCTAATGCAGGGCTCCTGTGCACACGCTGGCACGTGTAAACCAAGAGGCCAGGCAGAAGCTGCTGAAGAGCAACTGCCCCCTGTATTTGCAAGAGCAGAGGGGATGGAAGTTAGAAAGCCAAGCTAACTGATGCAAGCACATACAGACGCTGTTCAGCAACTTCACCCAAACTGGGCTCTGGAGCAAACCAGAGGTTACAGAAACCAACCCCGGAGTACTCCCCTCCCCAAAGTGACCTCCATGCTGCAACCTGGAAATGGAGGGTGGTGGGTGGCAGCTCTGGCTTGCTTAGAGAGCACCCCATTTTCTGCTGATGCCCCCACACAGGAGAGATCCTGCCTGTGCCAACTGTCCGACTGGAGGCGTGGATCCCAGACAGAATGCCCTGCCTTCAACTACAAAGAGCAACCACAGTAAAAGGCAAAGCCCCAAGCCTCAGGGTGCAGCCCCAGAGCCAACAGGCATGTTCCAGCCCGCTGCAGACACTGACCACCAGCCTGCCCCACCTCCAGAGGAGGCCTGGTGTGGACAATCCTCTGAAGCCCAGACTCCCAGTAAGCTGGAGCTCCAGACGGTCCGACTGCCTCCACCAAGCCCACCTGCACGTACCGAGCCCTCGGCAGGTCTCTGGCAGTGCCTCAGGGGCTCTGCTTGGTCCCCAGCTGCCACCTGAAGCACTCAGCTCCCTAAGATCCCATAGAACTTTTCTGCAAAATGGAAGGGAACTAATCTTACTGCTGGCCAAATTCCAGCTTTGAGTAATTACATTCTTCTGACAAATTTTCCTGGCAGTTTCAATGGAATATAATTAGTAAATGTAAATAGATGTAAATACTGCTGTAAATTACACTTTGCACAACTGTCAGAAGCAGAGGGGGAGAGCAGGTTGAAAGGACAAGGAGAAAAGAGCTTCAATCTCCAATATGGACAATGTTGTGGCCTTCCCTGTCATCAGACTCTGCCAGGACGGCGTGTCCAGGGCTACTGCAGCAGCAGATGCCACGATCCAGGATCATCATGTGGCTCATCACACAGCTCACCCCCTTCACCTCGAGTGCAGTTTTGGCCTGATGGTGTCCAGTCATGTCCCACAGCTGTGTCTGGGAGCAGCTGCTGTGCTCCACCTCAGCTGTGCTTCTGCTTCAGCAGCAGGCAAACTGCTTCGCACACACGCGCAACTGCAGAGCGTGTGGACATGATATCATTGTTGTCTGTGCTTATCAAATTTGTGAATGGTTTGTGAAACCTCCTGCTACCAACTGAAGTGTCACATAAATGGAATGATATAATTATACTTCACAGTTATTTTAATGCAGCTTCATGTACTAGTTTCACCTAAACTGGAAATAACTTCTTCCAAAAATAAATGCATATATTTAACCTCATGTCGTCTAGCAGATTTAAAAGCAACTATTTAAAGCAATGAAAATATATTATAATGAATATCTTTCTTATGTTATCTACATATTAGTACATTTTTATGTGTCAAATTTCCCTTACCCATGTCATTTGCTTCAAATACAAACTGATATGGCTAGTGGGCTTAACAAGGTATTTCTTTCATACGGAAAATTTGAGGATGATTTTTCAATAATTCACTAACTTTTACTCAAAATTTGCATATGGAAGATAGCTAGCAGAAACTAATAAAATGAAGGGAAAGTTTATTTTCTTAACAAAAGCTTGTTGCACTATTTGCTATAACAGGAGAAACAGATGTTTCAGCTTTACAATACCATGTCTTGCAAAACTTCCTTCTAAACAACTATTCGTGCTCTACATGTTTTGGACTGTGTATGGAGAGCTCTGCTAACAGTCATGGGAAGCATTGCATACATTAGTAAAGCCCACATTAAGATAATTAGCACTAAAAAAAAAAAATCAACAAGCTTTTTTTTCCCCCCTTTATAGTATTGATTTAGTGTGGGTGAAAAATGCCAGATTTTCAGTCTTGGAAGATTCATGTTCCACCACAGAGCAGGAGATGGAGCCAGCTTTTCCCAGTGCTCTGCCAATAAACTCTTAGATTAACCATCTCAAGGGCTAGGAGCAAGAGCCATGCTCTACAGCCTATCAACCCTTAGTTTCTCTGAGGAACGTGGAGAACGGGGAGCACAATACCTGGGACAAAGAACTCAAATTCTTAATCTTTGTGCCTCTGCCTACCTAAATGTTTTCTTGTCAAAAATCGTCAAAATTGCTGTGGACAACAGAAATGACTGGAAGTACTGAAGGTGCTCTGCTGCAGAGAGGACTCTGGGTAGTGGCAGCAGCTATGGGAAAATTTCTGCAGCAAAGACCCTTTGAAGCTCACTTTGTATCTTGTATGTCTACCTTCTAAATGGTAAATTCTGTTTTAACACAGACTGTTTTCATAAGGGCTCGGTAACCTTTTGCTAATCCTACGATAGGTTACACACATCATTCAGCTCTTTGTCTGGCGCTAACTTTACCTTCTGCAGATCCCAACCATGTCAATCTGGGTACAGGCACATAACCAGATGCAATTTGATTATGGCAGCTTAAAAAATTACTGCCTGCTCCCTCAAGATGCTGAAGTCAGGGCAGTTTAAGGTAGCAGCTCGTGTTTAGTATCACACGGCGTGCTAAGAGCGTGCACAAAGAACAGCTCTGAATGGTCTGTGGATAGCTGGCCACCTTACAGCTTGAGCTTATCCCCCTGGGGAAGGATCCACTGCAGACATGCCTCTGAGGATAATAAAGTGTCCTACTAGAACAGTTTAATGTTTATTTTTGTAACAGAGCTATCCAGGTGAGTTGAGGATGACATTATTCTGCCTAGGGTTTGGAAGGGTTGCTTTAAAACCACTTGCTTTCAGGCAAAGTGATAATCAGCTGAAGCAGTGCAAGACTTTTATAATGGAAGGCCAACACATCTTTTTTCATTCAGTTTGCAAGAGTAAACCGAACACAGCTGTTTTACTGAAAACAACCCACTGGCATTTAAGTAGATTAATAAAATTAACTGTGAAAATCCTCTGCTATGTGAAAGCCAATAACCTGTTGGCCACAAGGAGGCAGGGCAAGGATTCAGTAAACTCAAAGAAATTGCTTTAATTTTTTTTTTTTTTTTAAAAAAAAACCAAACCCACAACAAAAAAAGAAGAGTGTTAAATTAGTTCAGTCATGAAACTCTGAACTGCTAGGCAAGATAAAAAGCACTTTTCAGCCACAGTGTGTGGTTTCAGTACTGCTGTTTTATTCCAAGAGCAGCAAATTTCTTAAGATATCAAACAATAGCTGATCTGGCAGCAATTTTCTGCTTCTTTTGAAGAAGCAGATCACACATGTTTCTTCTTCATCACCACTTCTGTGTGATGTAGAGAAAAACTCTAACAATAAGCTTTGATAGCAAAAGTGAATTTACCAACCCAGAGCAAGGAAGTGTACCTCCAGGCTGACAAGGTGTTGCTCCCAAGCTAATAAATCCTGCTTCTGGGCAGCTTTGGGACCTCTGCCTTTCACTCCCTTGGCACTTCTAATTCTGGGCTAAAAGCAGACAGAAGCAGCTAGGTGTCTGTAGTCCCCTGCAAAGTACATTATGTGCAGTACAGTACAGTGCTGCCTCGCTGTTCAACAAGGACTTTAGGGCGTGCAAAACCAGCACTAAGTCGAGGTCAAGCTTCTAAATGGCAAAGGGGCAAAGAAGTAAAATAAAGTCAGGTGATCTCTGTTTCAGAGTTAAGTCGGAAAGAACTAAATTTAACAGTGAAACAAAGCCTGCCACAGTATCAGCACATCACAGTCCAAACCTATGGTTTAGATGAAGTGACTTTACTCCAGTTTCTGCCACTGCGTGCTACTGAGCTAGGTAATTTCAGTCCCCTATGCCTCTGTTTCCTCACCTTTGAAGCAGTTGCTTTCCTTCTTTGTGAAGCAGTATGAGGTCCATGGATAAAAAACACACTACAAGAACTAGTTATTATTAATGCAATTCAGATATGGAATGCACCAGATGGCAAAATCTCCAGGATTTTAATGAACTATTGTAACAGAACATATGTAATATGACGTTATTATAACAGGCATTTAAATGTATAGTTAGTACATACAACGTGACCTTCTCTGCTCTCAGTAACTCCACTGGAATTATTTTGGATTTATGTCAGATAATACTAGGAACACAAAATAGCCCCATATGTGCAATGTGGTAAGGTTTTCATAGCAATGCTATCTTAACTATTGCCTGCCCTGTTTTATTTTTTGCTGGCGTATTGTATTTAGTGCTCTGTTAAGAGTATGCCTTCTGCATTCAATTCTGAGCAAGTAAAAAAAAGTACCCTCATGTCAAAGTCTAAAATGCCTCTGACCAAGTAGCCCTTACCTATCATCATAAAACAGTCATCATAAAGCAGCAAGAACTTTTGGGATTGTTTCCCACTCTGTTCTGTAAAAATGTTGTCTTTGATCACCTTATGCTCGACATGGTAGGCAACACATGCTTGTGTCAGAAGAGCTAAACATTCAGTTTCAGAGTGTGAGGGCAGCAGGAACGCCTTTCTCCCACAGCAGTTGAATTCTGGACAAGATGAATTATATGCCTGGGCAAAGGTGAAAAAGCAGGACTGCAGCTCAAACCACTGGCATCACACATTGCAGTCAGAGACAGGTACAGACTTCAGTAAAGGAGGAACATGAAGATACTATCAGTATGTATAATAATTCTAGCTCATCTACAACACAGACTATAAAACTCAAGTGAACTGACATTTAATGTATGAGAGGCTGGAAGCAAGATACGAATTTCACATCATAAATTAGCCTTTGTGCTAGTGCCCAAAGATTTGGCTGATTACTCACTGCTTTCCCTTAGTGCTTAAGCAGTCTTTTCCAAAGCAAGACAGTTAAACCACAAAAACGTACCGTAGTGTCCACAGCCCTGACCTTCCCAGCAGGAACGTGCTTTGGAATGGGTTCTTCCACTGATATCATCATGCAGCCTTCTGCTCCAAGAGTAACAATTACGAGCTTACACCCTCTTTCTAACAGCATGCGTCCCACCTTTTCAGCATCTTCAAGGTTGCCAACTGGGATGCCCGTTAAAATTTCTGCCTGGAAAATAACCCACGCAAATGAAAATCATCATCTGACAGCACTCGTTTTTGGACAAGAGTTGCATTTGAAAACAGTATTTAACATCTTTTAAAAATGTGTATTATAGGACGATCATGAAACCGCTTCCTACGCTGACACTCAGCTATGACTTGCTCCGTGTTTGAAATCAGCGTGTACTTCGGGCACAGCAGACTAATGGAGAGCAGCCTGGGCAGAGACATGGGAGGCAGAGGTTCTGTTCCAGCTTCCACCACTTAACCTGGCACACAACCCTCGGGAAAATCACATTTCCTCCACATGCCTCAGTTTCTTCATCTGCGAAACGGACACAGCGACACAGCATTTTGTGGTCGAATGTGAACAATGCTACGTGCCAAGTCAGACACTATTGTTGGGGGATATTTAACAGTACAGTGAGGCACTTTTAAAATAAAAAAAAACTAAAATTCTCTGTGTTCAGCTAGGGGAAAATCACAAGGAAACACTCTTCAAGGAAAAGAAGCAATGGATCAGCTTTCACCACTCTGTTTACCTGAATAGATTTTTTTAGTTAAGAATACCTAAAAGTTATCTGAAGCCCTCTTTGTGCAAAGATTATTATATATTGGTCTTATGACCATGTCCATAGGCCTCTGTCAAAACAGACTATTCTATGCTGGCTCTGTAAAAACACAGATAAACTCTTCTTCTAACAGATGGTGACCTTAAGTCAACTTTTCCCAGCTGGCTCTTAAAATTAATCTCTTCTAGCTCCACCCAACTAAGAACAAAATTTCCCAGAAATCTGTAACAAAGACACCAGAATCAAGCATCCTTTTTGCCACTTCATACATTTTCTTGATGGCATAGCATTGTCAAATGTCATGTACTTTTTCTTTTGACAGGGAAGAGAACAAGAATTAAGCAGGAAAAAAGGCAAGAGAGAATACAGTGTTTTAGCTGAAGCAGTCTAGCAGGCAGGACTCCTGCATAACAGAGTATGCCTTCAGTTGCAAGTAAACAGACATATTCTGTTTTGCTCTTTACCAAATCTTGCCCTGCTTGACTGCGATGAGGGAAGTCCTACTTTATCTTGTGCTACAAGGTTGCTGCTGAATCCTGAAAAATGCAGCCTGAAGTATGTTCAGATAACAGCCTTGTAACAGGGCACAGCTTCCACAGTCTTAGGGTTTATTTTCAGTGGAAAACTGGCTTTGGAAGCTATTCGCCAGCCTCGCTTCCAGACCTCTGCTGCACGGGCAGCTCGGCTTCTTGGGAAACAGCCGCTGAAGTGCTCCCTCTGCACCACCGACACTTGGATTCAGCACACATACTTCTTGATGTACTGGGCTGTAAACTGTCCGATTAAACAACTGCTTCAGGAGGCACAGGCCACTCCTGTAGTGAAGAGAGGGAGGGCAGAGCGCTGGGGACAGGAACTACTACAGCCATCCCAAAGCAAGCCGCCCCCAGCCGTGAGTCAGCGCCCGCCGCTCGCCACTGTCATTTCCTGTGTTTCAGCCTGACCCAGGAGACAGAAGCCACCCTCAGGCTCTCAAGGGCCAGATTATGCCAACACACTCCCTAGAGTTTATGCTATCCTGAGCAGGGTACTTGCTGCTTTTTAAACTTTCAGGACCAAGTCCTGCAGTCCCTATTTAGACAAATGCCTAAACGGTTTCAAAAGCGTTGCTAGTCTGATCTGATCGCCACAAGGCAGAATCTGGTGTGCAGCCCTCGGTGGGCAAACGAGTGCACTGCAGGGGCAAGGGGTGGTTAACACTTGCATGCAATCTAGAACTATTTTTTTTTAATGACAGTGATCACAAACAAGAATATAGGAAGCTTTAAATTATAAGAAAACAACTAAACCTACCCAATTTTCTCTCTGGTATCCCCCCATGCTGCTCAAACTTCTCTTGCAGGACAAACTATTGAAGCAAATTAAACCTATTTCAGTTTTTAAAAGGTTATAAAAGTATTTTCAAATAAGAAATTTTGTTTCAAAAAGCATCTCACAAAATCTTTTGAATGTATCTTCTTGCAAGGTTCGCAAGGAGTCAATACACCAGTAATGGCTTTGGAATAACTAAGGATAGATAAACAGTATTTTTATATACACACACACACTCTATTCTAATATTCAAATGTCTAAGGAATCTGTGTCTCTTCACTAGTTTTAAGGTCTCTGGAGCAGGAACTATGCATTCCTGTATTCAGAACACCTAGCACATCACATTACAAGAATAAAAACGGATTAACACAAATCCTTCAGTGAAACTGGCTAACTGAATTTCCAATGGACTTTATGAGGGGTCATAATTCCAAACATTCTACCTACATTGCAAAATCTCCAGGACAAAAGTGGAGTGGGTTTTGGTAGAGAAACAGTCAATCTCATTTGGGTTTATTTACCTGGTATTTACACTTCTGTAAGACCATGAGGTAAATGAAGTATTTAAATATAATATTCCTCCTAATGAAACACACATGCTGTATGCTTAGCATCAACATTGCACCTCACTTTGTGCTTGCTGTGCCCCAAGTCAACAGGATTTTTTGCTTGGGTAGTGAATGAATTGTTCTGGGACTGGTATGCGAAAGGTTTGGCAGAAATATTTCATTTAATCTTTACACTGCTTATACCAATAAACAAAATTAATTTGAACAGACAGAGTCTGTATAAAAGTAGATCTTCGACGGCTTGTAATCACTATCCTGTAACTCATCTACAGCAGGATGGTAAAACTAAAAACACTGGAACAAGCTGGAAGAACCATAAAAGCAGCAGAATCCAGACAGATTCAGTGCCAACAATTAGAGATTGCAGTAAATGTCAACTGATGTTAAATACTGTGGTGAGTTTTTAAGTTCCTCCCTTCAGTAGAATCTTATTTAAAAAACAAACGGTGGTACAATTGAAGGAAATAACTAATGGTTATGTAAAGAAAAAATTAAATAACAATACTAAAAGCCCGATGTGGACATTTGCCATAGTGCTGTACAAAAGAGCAGCAAATGAAGAATTTTATTTTTCTGCAGATAGTTTCACGTAACTCCTCAGTTAAATGGACCTATTAAAGCAAGAGGACATTCCACAAAATTGCTGTCAGAATAAATCTGACAGATATTATATAATTAATCTACACAGAATTTTCTTAATTTTGTTTACAAGAGCAGAAGAGAAATTTAACTGAAGCTTTCAATCTAACTGATATGATGGTTTGTGCCCATAATCCTTGCTAACCTTGGTTAACTCTCCAATCTCTTTAGACTGTGGAGCCTAGTCACAGTAAATTGACACAAACCAGCACTGCTACAGGGAAAAAAAAAAAGTAGTCTTGCTTTTCCCCTTCCACTCCTGTCCACATGGCCCATGCTCCTGTGCCAGCACAGCCATTTGTGTGGCCAGGAAGCAAATCGGATTGCAGGGCAGATCTGTGTTAAAATTAATCCCACGCCACCCCCAATCCAAAACAATTAACTTCTTTCAACAGCAGTACTAGTTTACACTCGCTGAAAGTGAGACTGAAATTGTGATATGAATGTTTGCCAAGTGTTCCTAGCTGTGGTGTGTTTGGGGCAGCCTGTGGAGCACACAGGGACTCTCAGGGAGATGTTCTGGAGCCTCTGCTTGGCATCTGCAAGACCAAATCTGCAGCATGATACCTCATTTTGGGATCTCTGGCACAAGTAGCTCAGTGACATATTACAATGGAAGGCCATCAAGACAGTCAGGGGGACAGAGACCAAAGCATACAAGAAGAGGTTGGGAGAAGTGGGCTCGTTCAGCCTTAAGAACACCAGGCTAAGGTGAGATGTAATTGCTGTCTACAGCAGTTTACAGGTGGGTATAGAGAAGACTGGTCTTGAAGGTGCACAGGGATAGGGCTAGAAACAACAGGCACAAGTTGGAATGTGGGAAATTCCAGTATTAGGACAAGCTTTTTCACCACAAGGGTGGTGAAGCAGCAGAACAGGTGCCCAGGGGTCATGCAGTCTCCATCCTTGGAGATTCAAAACTTGACTGGACAAAGCCTTGAGCAATCTGACCTAAATTGGCCGTGCTTCAACAGCACGTGGGACTAGAGACCTCCAGAGGTCTGTTCCTACTACTCAGCAAATGTAAACTGGTGAAATAGCAAGAAGTACTAATTCTCTGGGGAGCAGCCCATCATTTGAACTGCTTTTTCTGCACCTAGCACAATAACAACTTTGCAAATGTTGCCAGGTACTGCTGGAACAGAAATAATAAATAATAATACTGCCAGTTTTAAGGCTAACCCATCTAAAACTACATATGATAATTCAAAATATTTTTAATCTTAAATATTTAAACACAGTAAGCCAGTTGGCTACAAACTTGGCTTGTACCTTAGGAGATTTCTTAGAGAATGACAGAAGAACTCATTCTCATTAACTCTAACACATGTGAATGGTCCCAAAGAAGTAGTGAGATAGATTTGGTGCATAAGCAATTGCAGGATCAGGCCTCAAGCCAAGCTAGTTCCAGTTGTTTCAAATTATAAAATTTTTGCATATATACAGGCAGAAATACTCATCCTGATAGAATAATTAAAAACGGATTGAGATGAATTGGTTTGAAGCTATTCCCTCTCCTCCCCAAAGCAACATCTTTCATTTTAGACTAAATATGGGAAATTTCATAGTTTCCAGCAACTGATACCACGGGGTTTAGAACTAAGCTGGAATTAAAATATACTGTGAATTGCTGGCAACTTCTACATAATGGTGCAATAGTAGCTTTCCATTACTTAAAAGAGAAAAGGCAAATTCAAGAGATGTTCTGAAATATTTTAATTCTAAAGGACTGATTTTTGACTACTACAGATATAATTTTTTTTTTCTTAAGAAAGACTATTCCTAGTATCAATCTGTCAATATTAATCAGCAGTAACTTAAAAGTCCTAATCCAAGGATACAGATAGTTTTATAAACTCCGTCTTCTCTGAATCTTGTAAAAGTCAATACTACCTCTTGATTTTGGACATATTAAAAAGAATTTCCATTATTAGTATTTCTGAAAAAAAAACAACCTAGCCTCTAGTAATAGATAATGGCAGTTAAAAGGAAACAATAGGATGGTATCTATTTTTCTGTATTATTTTTATACATCCTGCAGCTTTATTTAACAGAATTAGCAATTAACTATTATTTAATTGAACTGCTTTCTACCACTGAAGCCCCAAAATATTCTGTTAGCATTTAATTAAATCTTTGCTAGACCTTTCTTGTTTAGATCCTAAGTCTGATACCCACTTTACACTAAGGAGAAAGCAGATCCCAGTTTTGCATTCAAAACAGCTTGACAAACTAAATCGTTCTCTGTAACGATTTCGGAGTTTTCCTCCTCCTGAAGGACTCCTCAGCATTCTTTGAACAGAGAAGCAGCTGTTCTTCAAACGTTTAGGACCAAACTGAAATGGCTGATGTGCAATATATGTGGGCTCCTCACCTGCAGGGCTATGTAACTGCACGCACACGCGAAGTAAGAAAAACAACTCGTGAACTGTCCTGACACTGTGGTTGTGCTGCAGCAAGGCACCACACAAATACGTGGGGGAAAAAATGGTGAGTGTTCCAAAGAGCTCATCACGCACAGAGTTGTCTCTTTTTCAACATTTATAGAGGCCTGAAAAGTTTTTAGTGAAAACCGTTGGTTTTCACTAAGTTGACATTGGATACATTTATTTTTCATTAGAAGAATTAAGAGAATGAAGAACTAGCACATTCCTGCACAAACCTCAGGGATTAGGCTGTGCTACATCTGGGAATTAACAAACTAGTCTCAACAAGTTTGATCTTTCTGGGAAAAGATAAAACTGAACTACAGGCTAAGCAAAGAAAGAACTGATAACCTTGCAAGATTTGTTCTGAGCTTTTTTTGTTCATGAACCACATAAAAAGAAAGTAATGTCAGCCATACAAAAAAAATATTATTGCAACAAGCAAGAGTGAAAAGAACAGCTTGTGAAGAGCCTTCTAGACAAACTAATGGTAGATAATTCACTGATAGTATAATTTTGTTTGCCTCCGTCTAGCACATAAATCCATAAGAACAAGCTGTGCTGTTCTACCAGATACTGCATCTGATTTCATTAAATCCTAAAGCATTTAATGAAGGATGAAGCATAAAGTGTGAGGTTGTATTTGATACACGCATGTTTGGGACCAAACATCCCATGGCTATCTGGAACTACAGCTGACATTTTAAAACTTTCATTCTGTGACAAGGGCATTGCAGACCAAAGCTCCTTGACTTTCATGGCAGTAAATAACAGGAACTTCTGACTCAGTAATAATTCAGCTAAGAAACTACCTTCTTTTTCTCCTCAGTACCAACACAAACACTCCACAGAGTGCATGAGATGTCTTAAGCTACATGGCCAGTGTTCTCTTCTACAGCTAACATAACCTCCTGTTACAAACGTGGCCTTCACATAATATCCACAAACCACAGGATTTTATCATTTAAAGGTATTTCTTGGTGAACAGGAAAGGTAAGGACATTTTGGTAAAATTGTGTGATAAACACTTGTATATTTAAATTACTATGAAAGCCAAACCAAGCAATAATAAAAAATTAAATCAGTGTAAATTTAATCTTTTCTTAGTGTATAGGTCTGTGTTAGAAAGAATGTTTTAGGAGCAATTGAACTGAATAGCTCTGAAGAGTTAATTTTTAAACCTAAGATGATTTATTAACTATTCTAAAGGACTTAGTAAAGCTAAAGCAGAAACAAACTTTTGTTTTTTTTATGGTACTACCTAAAAATCTCGAATAGAAAAGAAAAGATCCAAAAAAGGGGTGAGGCTGAAGCATAAAGAGGATTTTGGCTAGAAGAAAGTTATGTGAAACTTAGAAATAGCAATTTCCAATACCAATGGAGCTGGAACAGAACATCTCAGGAAGGCAGCTGTAAGCAGCTCATTCAATAAATTTGGCCATAGAGAATAATAATAATACTAATAAAAAACCCCCATGAAACAGAATGGCCACAGTGGCTCAGAGTATCTTATTCAAGGTCCATCTTATCCAACTGCTCTTTTCTGACTGTGAATGCTAGTAAATACTGAGAGCAATTTAGAAAAATGTATAAAAAGATATTTTCCCAGCATATATTCTGGATCATCAAAGTCTTAGGCACTTCCTGATTTAAGAAGATGAAGGAAATACAGATGCAGCTGTTTGAATGGATGAAGTTTAAAAGATTAGAATTATCTTTCAGATTTGTTGAATTAACTTAGTGCTTTTAAGTGCCATACAGTAATGTGACCAGTAACCGTTATTTCAGTATGTAAACACATATCAAACTTCTCAAGTGCATATATTACAGGGATCTGAAATTAAAGTCATGAAAGAAAACAGAAAACAGATGGCATATGAATATATAACAATTACTAAAAAAACAACTTTCAAACTTGTGACATAAGAAAAACAAATGCTTCATTTTTCTTCTTTTCTCAGCAAAAATAAAGGAACAATGGCAAGAGTTTATCCCTGAAAATCAATTCAATAACAAATCAGACACACTGAGAGGATGAAATCAAACACAATTGATTATTACAGTTGTGCTAACATAATTGATTTCATTGCAAAGTATAAAAAGGTTATTGTTAAAAGCAAAGGTATTTATGTGCCATTCTTGTTCTCTGAATATGCTGTAGGAGCCCCACACTTGGATCTGTGCGCCCATGATGTGGCTGGCAGGAATTTCCATAGGTTTACTGTTCCCATAAACTCAGAAGAGATAAGACCCCTCACCAGCTGAGAGTGTATTTCTGTGTCTGACTGTGCACACAGTGATCCCAGCTACCTTCAAATAGTAATTACTTTTTAAAAAGAAAATAGCAGAAAAGAATGCAAACTGTACCCCCAGCTCTGCAGGAAAGGTAGATGAATGAGCAGGGATCTATTATAATTATACACCTGTATTTCTTGTTCTCCTAATAGAAGTAATTTTCTTTTCTCCATGTGATGGTAATAATAATATACCCTGGCTCCAGAAAGCTGAACTTCTCAAAGAATGTCTCCTTCAAGACTGTCCTCTAGCAACAGTGTCTAACAAAGGGAAAACTTTAACATGTGTGTTGCAAAGAGCAATGAGAGAAAAGTCAGGAACAGACAAGTAATGAAAAACAAAGTTTTGTTTCTAACATATGGGGGATAAGTTTTTGCAAGGGGAAAAAAAAAAAAAAAAGACATTATGAAAAAAGCAAACAATGAATGACATTTACTAAACTGGTGGGGGTGTATGGGTGTGCTCAGCCCAAAACGTGCGCCGCTGCACCATTTAGCTGATGGAGGGGCACAGTCCAGGCAGAAGTGCTTTCTGAAAGCATGAAGAAAACACCACATGGGTGTCCTGAAAGTCCCTTGGACAAGAATAATTACTTTGCCTTAGCATCCTCTTCATCACATATAATTGAGTTCTGATAGCTGTTGGACAGTGTCTGAGCCACAAATATCATTGCCAGTTGCACTGGAAACTCTGACTTCCAGAGAGCCCTGAGGAGCTGTGGCCTCTCCCAACTCACTATTTTGCTGACTCCTGAATGCTCTGGAGTATACGAGCATGGCAGACACATACTGAAATATTGCCAAATAAAATTCAGATGTCTATTTGGGTTACTTAGACCAACCCTTAAACACTAGAAGACTTGTGAGCTGAGAACTTTGACAGGGTTTGTGATGGGTTTTAACAGAAATTCAATAGAGGGTAATTGAATCTGGAAGAACTTGGTCTGACAAACATTATCAACAGACAAAATACCCTATAAGTAAGCGGAGTGATGCTTTTATCTTAGCTCTTCCCCCTCCTCTCCACCCAAAGGTATCATGTTCATTGCAGAAAACAGGTTTGTTGGAGATGACTTTAACTATTGTCAAGGAATGGCTTCTGTCCATTAAGTTGCTTCTCTCACATTACTGTTTATATAAAGAGAGAATGAGGGGAAGGAACACAGCATGCATAATGCTAGGAAATAAGTAATTTAAATGAAAGCTGTATGAGATGAGCTTAATTTGTCTGTTGTGACAAAAATAATTTCCTTTGGGAGAAATAATACACTTGAATTGGAAAAGAGAGGGAAAGGAAGGAAACAGGGGTGAAAAAAAAAAAGGAACACATACAGTTGAAGGTCCAGAGAAACAGATCCACTGAAAAGAGAGGTGGCAGGAAGAGGCATATGTAGCTACTATCCCCCATCAAGGCCAGCATGTGTGCATCACCTCCTGGCAAGTGAGTTTAAAACTGTCATGGCACTATGGTTAGCACATTCCTGCTAATCATATCAAGGGACCACAGAACAAGGACAAGGATCTATTTTAATATTTACCACGCAATGATAATGACTTAAGTGTCCTTTTATGGATTTGTTTTATTCATCTGCTTGTACGGAATGCTGGACACAACTTTCCCACTGCAAACAATTTAATTCTGAATGCAATCTAAAGGTATTCTACAATACTACTCTTTGCATGTTAGGCCAGGGATCAAACTTGTCACCTCCAGAAGTCCTATGTAAGAGGAGCGTGCCTCAGTTTTCCTGCTCTCTATGCTGCATTTCTGAGAACAGAATCCCTCTAAAAGTTTATTGCTTAAGACTCCTTTTTTTAACATGACATATGACCATTACCTCAGTTTCATTGCAGCAGAAGATATCAGAATGGGTATAAAATTGTGGATCTAGGTCAGCAAGGGCTGGAGCTGGATTAAATAAAGTCTTTACTGAAAAGAAAAAAAAAGAAAAGAAAGTCTAAATCTCTAGTGTTTTAGATGCATAAACAATCACCTGAAACACCACTGTGGTTAATTCACTGGCTACAATGTTTATTATTACCACACAAATGGCTCTCAATTTGTTTGTCTTCATTTTACAGAACTGCTAAAAGTTTCGTTTATTATATTAAAGTTCCCCTTTAATTCATGTGCAGACACCTGTCATGATGGGAACATGACAAAAAAGTAGCAACAAAAAAAAATAACCAAAGAAATTATTAAATTTTAAAAATAAAATGAAAGAAGCTTTAGACAGTAATGCAATTTGCCCAGCTGATGATGCTTCTTCCAGGATTTTAATAAGTCTTACAAGAACTGATTTAGTTCTAGAATTTTTTCAGTGTTGTTATCTGCATTCTGTACATGAAGGAACAGGGGCATGGAGTAATGAAGGGCATGTCCAGACAAGGTGCTAAGCGTGCTTCTGAGTGTGTTACCTAACCTGCTGAAACTGCCACATTATAAAACTGTAGTGCAGACAAGGTGCTGTGTATTTTTAATATGCTATCTGGCAGAGCCAGACCTAAACGTAACACGTGGTAGAATATGTTAGTTAACCTAAGTTTAAACTGTAGCCTAAGGCCCCATGTAGCAGCAGAAAAGGTTTGTCATGAGGACAGTATAAGTGACTTACTCACTGTTAATACAGGAAGTCTGCAGACCTGGTTTATCACTTGCCCAATTTTGTGATTAATACTTCTGTGTCCTAACCACAAGGCCATAATTTTTATATAAAGTGTGCTCTCTTACTTCAGAAATATCCTTTATAGTAAGTGATCAAATCTTCCAACTTGGATATGTAAATTTTCAGACCTAAACACATATTTAGACCCTAAGCTACAGCACATAATGTTCAGACACTCTGAACACTTCTGAATCCCAGTTAATGCCCTAAAAGAGAAAGATGCACAGAGCTCTCTGAAATCTGAGTACTGTGAAGTTTAGTAGACCACTATTTTGATTAATATTCTGTAATTTCTAGCCTTTGACGTCACAATTTTATCATGCTTCTCCACCTGCACCATTAAAAACAATATTAAAGTGACAAAGACATTTACTGAGAAGTCAGAAAATGGCAAGATCAGGATTTCCAATGAAAACTTAATTTGGCTCCCATTTATTATTACAATACAGTATGTATTATAATAAACTCTTTAATTATATGATCACATACCACGGAAAAACAGCATGTGATCACATAATTAAAGACTGCAACATAATATATATGCAGAAAGGAGACAAATTAAGGTTTCACAGGCAACCTTAACTCTTGCATTTCCTATTTTCTGAATTGCAATCCTAATAAAGGCGTTTTTTAAAAAAAAAAACAACCAAAACCAAAAACCAAAACCAAAACAAACAAACAAACAAACCAACCACAAATCTTTAAGGTATACTTTCCTAGGTAAAATAAACAAACAACACATATTGTAAAACAAACTCTGTCTTGTGGCATATCCATGGGTCAGGAGCAGCACTGGAAGTGTTCTGACTTGGGTTTTAAGTAATACAGACTCGTTGTGAACAGCGTGTAATGCATTACTATTACTTTGCTCCCACAATTAATATCTGCTGAGCAGGAGGGAGATAGAGGAACCCTAAGACTCTCTTTCAAGCTGTGAAGAAGGTAATTTGTTTGGCCGCCTTGAGGAACACCAATTTATTATTCTGCCAGAATCTTTCTCTCCCTTTGCCAAGATCCATTCTCCTCACCTACTTTCCATTCCCTGTGCCTCCCTGCATAGGCACTATGCAATAGTAACCTTTCTCACTTGACTTTCATGGCATTGTATCTCTTCATGCCCCCTTTCCTTATGGTGAGGGAGGACTGCTTTTTTTTTTTTACCCACAACCTACTACTCCCTTACTCTACTTCCATATTCCAATCTCTATTCAACAAATCCCATTCTCTGTTCCAATTTTGTTCCTTCAGGTACTCTCTTCCTCTGCTACTCCCAATATCAAGCAAATCCCTCCTACACTTCCCTTGTCTGAAACCTACTCTCCCTCCCCAGCATTCCCATCCAGCTTTGTCTCTTGTGTCTTCAAAGCAAGCAAGCTCCTGCTCTGCACTTCCTGGGCCAACAAGAGATCTGTAACAGTAAAAAAGAAGTTGTCCAAAACCAGATTCTGGAATTACACTGAAAGTCATGCTGCCCAAGTGGACAACTGCCTGTGTGGACAGTCTCCCAGGGCAAGGTATCTGTAAAACCCAGTCTATGTGAAAGTAGGTATTGACCAAGTGGACAACTGCCTGTGTGGATAGTCTCCCAGGGCAAGGTATCTGTAAATCTCTAACCCAGTCTATGTGAAAGTAGGTATTGTCCAAAGGCAGATATTACAGTAAAAATCAGGCAGATTTCCATACTGTTGTAAAGCCTTATCTTTAAGAGAAAGGTCCCTTGCTATTGACTCTTAAGTAAATTCTAAAGTAGTCAGTATTCATAATTTAAAAGGGAGTAGGGTGGGAGGCATTTTCCAGTGCCTGGTTTCTGCAGCCACTGTGCTTTGGCAGAAATTACAAAGAGTTTAACCACAGACAAACAGCTGGTATGAAAAATTGCAGCCCAAGATTAGAAAGTTGAAGCACCTGTTGAAAAGTTGAAGCATCCTTTACTCTCAAGTGACATAGAATCTTAATAACTGAGGCTGCTTCCAGCCTGTTCTTCACTATAGTATCAATAGGATGGACAATATCAGCCATCTTTTATGGAGTCTCTCATTACAGAAGCTGAAAAGCTGCTTTACAGTCTGTGATATACAACAGCATTTTGCCCATCTATGAAGTGGTACTCCTCTTGGAAGCAGCAGCAGCTTCACAACATGTGATCATTAAAACTCTAGAATTTTCCAGCCAGTGTTCCACTACAATTTATACCCACTTGATATAATTATTCACAATCCCCATTCCTTCCCCTTCCCTTCCTTCTCTCCAAGATTGTTACAAGATCTTTAACAATCCGTCTCACAAAGAGAAGGTGTTAGAATATAAGAGGTCTCTCTCTAGCTTACATATCCAGGTGATGTTCATTGAACAGCAGTAAAAGGTCTTGCCTGTGTGTCCACATTCTTTCTCCATCTTATTTCTTTTAGCAAGAATGAAGAAACACAAGCAAAAAAGCCCTTGAAGCAGAGGTTTGAGGCATCTGGGTATGCATCTGTTTTAAACAAAAATAGTCTAGTGCACATCCTAACATGCAGTACTGCATTATACATGAGGGTATTGCAGGCTAAAAGAAGGGAAATTGCATTAACAATTTACAGTTGGCTAAGGATAGATTTTTACAGTGCTACAAACTCAGCTGTTTACTTAGATCTGCCTGCACATGACATTTGAACACGTGTAGCCTATTGAGTTAAATCAGAAGCAACCAAAGCTTTCCTGAGAGGAGACCTGCACAATGATAGCAGACTGACAGCACAGAACTTCACCTGGCCCACAGCTAACTGCTATCTTTTCTTGATATACTGTGCTGTCTGGAGTTGCTAAGTGCTTGCTTATCTGTTCCATGTATCAGGGCTGGATTTTTTTAAAATTGCCTTTAAAGACAATCCTGCCTTCTGACATAGGCTGGCATCCTGCCCTACGAGGGTGACAGAAGTGTGAAGCATCTCACCAAAACTATGCATAGAGTTAGAAGCAGACAAAGTAAGTTATGTGTACTGACTCACAGCTCAGCTATAGTCCATTAACCACCAGATTAAGAATGCTTTTATCCACTTGCATAAAATATAATGAAAGTATATAGTAAGCTCTGTTCCCCCCCCTTCTATTTTAAGCATTCCAGGTGCTACTCAAATCTCTAAAGCTTTTAATTTTTATTTAGACTTGCACAAACCCAGTTTTGACATTTCAAACAGAATCCATAATAATTTTTCCCCTTGCACACTTCTGCTTATAGAGTTTATGACTATCACCACCACAGTTTCAGAGCCACTCTCTCCCAGCCTTGCATCTAACATAGCTCCTTAAATTAGCACAAAATAAATGCACATGATGCACAAAGTCCTGTGACGTCCGACGGCTTCACTAGTGCGTGACCTCTAGTGACCACAGCAGGTGCACAACAGAACTTGGTGCAGAAGGAGGTCTGCAGAGTCAACAGTCCTGGCATGCTATGATCTGTTGGAGCAAGCCTGGGCCCAGCTGCAAAGAAACAGTTGGTTCTGATCCCAGTTCCATCCCTGACCTGCTGTGTGATTGACCATACTATGAGCTGTCCCCTCCCAGCCTTATCTTCTGCATAGATGCAAACAACATATTTTTCATCTCATACAGATGCCTCACTTGCATAATTACTTGCTTAGTGTTCAAATGGTGTGGTAATTATGCTTGAGTAACCGAAAGCATTACAGGCACTTAAACATCAAACCCAAGGTGTCAGTAGTGAAAACCCATCCTGTCCCAGCAAAGTGCCAGCTTTTAGCTACCTATACGCTACGCTGAACGAACAATGGCCAACGTGTAAAACTACCACAAAGAAACAATTTACTAATCATTTCACAGGCCATGACCCTGTCTATTCAATGGCAGCATGCCAAGTCACACTTTAAGAATGTCAGTTAAGAAGAGAAAACATTTTTTGTTTTTATTTTAAGGATGTTAATTCTACATAGAAAACCACAGCCGTAGCTACTGCTATACTGGGAGAACAAGGGCATAAGTCTGGTTTTGAGGTCACTTCATTCACTTCATTTTGTGTGGAACTTTACTGATTTGCATTCATTATGCTTGTCCTGCTCTGGAATAACACCAGAGTCAGTCCCATAGTTCCTGACCTAACAACATTATACTGTATTTAGTCACAGCATGAAAATAGTAGGAATGGCAGCACCAGACATACATGGGGTAAGGGTTGTATGTATACCATACATATAAGGGTATGTGTTGATTTGCCATTCAAGGTAAACACTGCAAAAATTTAAAACTGAAATCAGTTTTCATTAGAGTAGCATGAATTTCTTGGCTATTGTTTCATTTCTAAATAAAACTAGTATGACAGAAACCAGAACAGACCACAGGATCTTCATTTAGAAAGCACGATAAAGAATATTTTTCATGGAACACAAAGGAGAGAGACAGAATGGCTTATATTAAATTACCTCCACTGGCACGTGCCATTTTCAGTGCTTCCAGAGACACAGCAGGGGTTATTTCTAGCTGGCAAACAACCACTTTGGCTTTACAGATGACATGAGAAGCCATCTTCAGGTCTTCAAAATTTAAAAGCAGGTTGGCTCCTGGGACTATGACAATAATATTTTGCCCTAGAGAGAAGATATTGTTTTTCATGTTAAGTTATGCAATGAAGTATGTAAACCAGTTCCTTGCTTTTCTATAATACATTTTAGATGAATATTTCCATTTGCTTTCCAAAAAGAAACCCACTAAAAATGGATGCATTGTTTACATTTTGAAACATCTAAAGATTTCAGAAGATAATAAAAAAGATCAATGGACTAATGGATGCTACACTGAACAAATAATCCAGTATATATTTTTTCAGGAAAAGTAATGGATGTGCTTTCCCCAGTCTTAATCTGGTGTCTTCTATGAACTCTAAAGAAGCACTGTACTAGTCACAGTGGAGATTGGGGATGTACACTAAGGCTGATATTTACATTTTCCTAAAATACTCCAGTAGCACTTGGAAGACAAAACCATCGATGTAATTATTGAGTACATATTATGGCCAAAAACGCCATAAAAATTTTAATTTTCCTATCATCTGGAAGCAGACAGTATTTCACAATGCTATGAAAACTACACATTCTTAAGATTTCCAAAGAGGCAGGCTTGCTCATTTACCTGTGACACTTCAAGTTAGGGCCTTAACCATGAGAATGAGCTTGCCATCAAAACTCAGAAAGGTAATGCCTGTGTCTAATGAAAGCTTTATCAGAAGTGAGTAAAGAAGGTGGGTGACACATTCTTCTGCACTGAAAGCTGGCCAGGAGAGTGGTCTAAGCAAAGCTATATGTGCAGAAGCACGGCAGCATCTCACAGCACATCTAAAATCCTTTTCATTCTTGTAGTTTGTTTTACAGTTAGGTGAGGAGGTTCATTTATGTACGTTCCAAATATTCTTTTGTTTTTCTTCAGACATGCAAGTTGTGTTCTTCTATTGCAGTTTCTTCCATTCTCTCTTTGGTTGTTTTTTGGTTTTTTTTTTATCTGTTACAACACCTAGAGACCTTCAGGCATGGGTGCCTTCACATTAGTATTTACTATTAATCACTCAGGTATTAAATTCAATAAGTCAGTTGTTCCTTGATTTACAGGCCCAGCCCGCCCCCGCTAAAGATTCCTTTAAGAACTGCCAATCATTAAATGCTACCAATTCTGTAATGAACTGAATTACTCTGTAAATAAATATTTATGTTTTTAAATACATTATTTTTGTTGAATGAGACTTCAAAGTCCTTTGAATAAGAAACGTGCAAAGCTTGTCTCTCAAAATATGTTCTGAAAAGAAAGCAGGACAATGGAAAGAATAATATAGTGATCTCAGAGGGAGGGGCCCAAGCTTTCCAAAGCAATTCTGCTGTCAATGGTTTGGTACAGAACAGCTGCATATGAAAAGGAAAACCTCAGCATTTAAAGCCAACGCCCTGCTTTTCAACAGACAGTGATGGGCATCTTGGATTAAAAAAAAAAAAAAAAAAAAGATAAAAAACCTTCTGCAACAAGTAAATGCTATCAAAGATATCTGAATCCTGTTGAGGAACCATTCAAAGGCAAATTGCACCTATTCTGCCAAGCATGTATTTTGAAAGCTTATAGTGTGCAGCAGTGCAAACAGTAAAAGGCAGGGAATCAGTGGAAAAAAAAAAAATGTTCCATTGCTGCCTGGACTCTGTGCTACCTAGAATCTCAGACTTTATCCACATGTCTTGCTGCATTATCTTGCTGAACTATTTAGCTGTACTGACATGTATATTATTATTAGACTTCAGAGCTAATGGCCCAAGGCGATAAGGAGGGCTGTTTGCTTAAACCCACATGTGCAAATTCAAGGTAGACCATGCTGCACTGGATCACAGGCAGAAGCTTTTCTTTGTTGCTACCAAAGGTCAGAGACTTAAAGTCTACTTTCAGACCTGTCAGTGAGATGCAGTACCTACAGCAGTGGAACAGTCCACACGGGCTTAATTCAAGCTGGAAGGAAAAAGCCACATTCTGTTCTTAGCCACATCCACCACGGTAACTGTGAATGACAGCAGGCACCACAGAGCAGTGTGCATGATAGAAGAATCTGGACACATGCACTCACAATTACTACCAGAATTTTGTATTATCAGCAACCATTTTGTTGAAGGCAATTACTTCTTGCCAGGGAAATCAGATGGGGAATCAGCACCAGGGACAACAGAGTTAAAGACAGATGGCAAAGAGGGGTGGGATTCATCTTGTCCAACATTAATGATTTTTTAGAGTTTTAAAAAAAATCCCACATTCTAAGAAATTCTAAAAAACTAATTTCTAAAAATTCATTTTCGAGGTTCTTTCAAAAAGAAGGAGAGACAAGGATTTTAAATCTCACATATCTTAGATACCTGTTTGAGGAGATAAACTGCTGTGTGGAAATGCCTACAGATGTCTGTTAACTCTAGGTGAAGCCTTAAGCAGTATACCTAACATTCAAAAAGCCCAAGTGAGGTAAAATTTTACCCACAAACAAAATGACAAAAATGTACTTTCTGCATTACAGTTAATTCTAACATATCTTTACTTAGACTTGAAATTCTCAGCTTCGATATAATTTTAAGTTTTGCAGACATCAGCTAGATTATTAAGGGCTACATTCGTGGTTGCCATAAGCTAAAACAGCTAAAGGAAGCTGATAAGCTTGTGCAAGCTTGTACCAGATGGGGATTGGCTCCAATCAATACTTAAAAGAGTGTGAATGCTGCATGTGTAAATACTGTCCTCAGTGGGGCTTCTAAACCTGCTACTATGACTTCTTAGAAAAAAACATAACTCAAGCTAGATTTTTTTTTAAGAATGTCATTTTATATTTGTCACCAGATGAGAATTGCCAGTGGAAAAATGAAAGGCAAACCAGTAAACACCACGGTGCAATAACCATAATTTTTTTAAAATGGGATGGCGAGCCTGAAAGTCATCAGTAGTGCTTAGAACTCACCAAACTCACCAAACAATGCATTTATACCAACAGCAGCAGAACTCCTACATAATAACTCATAGAGAAAAAAGATGGTATTTGTGAGCAGAAAGGAACATTACAAGAAAAACACTTCCTGCCAAATCACATAGTTCATGAATAGGAGGGCAAGTTTTGGGTGTGTCTTGGTATCGTAATTTCTGTGCCATTGCTTGGTAGAAGCATTGAATAGTCTTGAACACAAAACGTTCAAGTACATGATGAATGTCACTACACAGAAATTCTACAAAATTCAGGTGACATTTTTTCGTAACCCTGTGGGTTAAAAACAAAGGTTTTCTCTTTGAAAAGTATAATTCAAATAAGCTGGCATGTGTGTTTTAAGTTGCCTTTGTTTATTTAGCCTTATCTAAATATATATTTTGAATGTTTTTATACTAGCAGTGCTTTGGTATTGAAGGTATACTCACTCACAAAATAATGCCTATTCACTGTTCATGAATGATTAATATCCTTATCATAAAGTCAGCACCATGCCTATCTCAAGCGAGGGTTATCTCACAACGTTCTGTGTTGGTGAGCTTTCAGTTCTAACTTGCAATAATCAACAGCACTTTAATCATGACCTGCCAACCTCTGTTGTCCCTCCACTGAATTTTTGCTATGAAGATGGAAGTTGTCAGACTGGTTCAAACTACTGGCCCAGTCAGGCCAGCTTAATGGCACTGTCAACAGTCAGTACCAGATACAGACAAAGCTGCAATAAATTTCACAGGTAATCATATAAAATAATATCCATTAAGAGTTTTTTTTTCCCTCCCTACATGTGTATGTAAAAGTACACATCATCACTTTATGGAGTTCTTACCGTTCCACAGCACACTGTTAGCAGAAGCTGTGCCAAGTGACAGAGCTAGTGGAGAAGGCAGGTTGAAAGGGGAAACAAAAGCTGGGGTTCAAAGTGGTGAAATGCACCTCAAAGAAAACGTGTTAAGAAAAGCATCTGGATGTACTAGCTTTTCTCCTTAAGAGAGAAAGTACAGATTCAAAGTGTACAAGGTCCTCCTAAACTGAAGCTTGTGCTCAGCTACCACCTATCTGAAGAGTCAGTTGCATAAAAGAGAACAACTGAAAGGAACACGAGGTTCCAGAAAGATTTCTGCACAGATTTCTGCCAGCAGCCCAGAGGGAACCTTTGCAGCATCTCGGGACTTCACATTTTCCAGTGCAGCACTATAAACTTGTTAAATCTTTTCCACTATTTTGTATTAAAGCAGGGATTCAACCTATCCGTTATTTAAACTATACTGTGTTGTCCCAAAATACAATGCAACTTTGAGAATATCAAATGCATCTGATAATTTTAAAATTTTTCATACTTTGCCAATTGCAATCATGGGTGAGTTATAGCTGTGTAATTCAGTAACCAGTAAAAATCTTCCCAAAATTTCAAGAGCACCAGCTAGAGAGAATGAAGTAACAGGGAAAGCTTACTCTGAAGTTTCCTCTGACTCTGCTCTCTGCAGCTTTCTTCTCCTCTGCCCTCACTCATCCATCACAGTCTGCCCCCTCTACCTGAGTATCTCTCCTACTTCTGCCTGTGATTTCACTCCATCCATTGGAGTTGGTATTTTTCCCAAGTACCTGTACTTGTAAAGAATTGGTAAGATGAAGTTCAGGTTAGGTGTGTGAAACTACACCAATTAAAACGTGGTGATTTAAGGAGATAACAGTTCTGGTTTTTTATTTGTCCCTCATTGTCCTAACATAAAACACCATCACTACCCCCAACCTCAAATGCTTCCCTTTTAAATATAATTTGAACTAGCAGAAACTACTTTATATCAGTGCATTGAATGCTGTCTTGTTTCAGTTATGCCAGCACAACTACTGTGGTACAACAGGCATGTGTAGACAAGCCCTTTGAAAAGTGCTGTAAAACCTGTTTAGGTCAAATCAGCCAGGTTTCTACAGGAAAAAAAAAAATAGTGTCTCTTGCAACAGTGAAGCACGTAAGTACTGCTATTTTGTTGCAATTTACTCAATTCAGGCGCCAGATGGTTTTAGAGAGAAGTAACAACCAGCACCATTACCAATTCTGTGCATCTGTTTGCTTCATAGCATAGTTCTGACCAGGTTTGCTCTTCTACTAGATTTTAAAGGAAATCCGAGCCCAGCAGTAACTTAATTTAGGGTTTTCCAGTTTCTGAAAGAAGCAGACTACATGACATTATGCATTATTCCTCTTGCTACATGAACCATAAGATTATCTGAGACCCTTCACACTGACACTAATGCATAAGAAGGCCCACGGTGCACCTCATGGCACTGAAAAATCAGTTTCCCTTTCTTAGTGCTTAGAAAGGTTTTAGAACCACAAGATGGTTTTATCCTTCAGAAAAATTCATGGTGTTATGATTTTAACAGGTTATCCTCTGTTCATTTAAGTTGAGACCATGTTTATCTTAACTGGCCATGCATGTGAATTGGGATGTGATAATACTGCTTTGTATTGAACTATCCTGGACAGCAAGCCTAGTGCAAAACATGGTTACATGTACAGAACAGTGAGGCCTGGGAAGGTGCTATTGGATTCCCACCTTCTCTCTTAGTTACAACAGCCAGAGTACTGACTCTATCCATTATAAGAAAGAAGCTCTTAAGAGTTGCAGTGGTAATTTACCTGCTGATCCAAACCAAGAGAAGGAGTTGGAAGTAAGAGGAAGTAAGATCCCTATTATTCAATATATTAGAGTCACCTTATTTCTGAATTATAGCTGTCATGTGAGGCTTTGATTAATCTTACTCAGGGAAAATTCAACTCACATCTCCAATAGATTTGCCTAATTTTCCTGAATGTTCCTGTATAGACTTGCCTTTAGTCACTGCTCCTTCCCAGGTTTGCTCCTGCAGTGAATAGTCATGTTCTCCTTCCCATTTTGAGCTGTAGCCCAATGTACTACCATCAGGTTACACAGGAGCTTGCTAAATTGATGTGTCAGCTAAGCTGTGGTAGCTATTCAAATGAAGGCTCTTAGCTGCACCAAAAATGAACTAATCTAATCACACTTAATTTGTTATTTTTGCATAAACATTCACAGTCCTGAGCTCTAAAAGTTGATCCAGACACGCGTACTTCTCCTAAGAGCTCTCAATTGCACAACTTGCTTGAGGGAAAGATAAAGTTTTCAGAGGATAATTTAGCAATCTTGAAAAAGAATATGAAAACAAGCCAAATCATCTTTTCCTCCTCCTCTGCAATATGAGAGCAAAGGCACAGGCTAAGGAAAATTAACACAGAAAAAGCAATTATGCCATTTCACTGCACATTCATCACTGCAGATGCAACCTGGGATCAAGAATTGTGGTAATATTACAAGATCAACATAAATATTTCTACTTACACTAAAGGACAATTCCTTTCCTGATTCAGGGCATAATGACTCATTTAGTGTGCTGAGGAGGCAAATCCTTTCTTCATGGTAAAAGTGCTAGGTAAGCTGTGCCAGAATATGAGAGCTTTGGCCTTCTGCTACACTCTATGTTATGGCCAATGTAAAACTAGAGAGATCAGCTGGCTGATGGAATTATGGCTATCACACTGCTAATCTAAGTGTCTGATTCTGCTGCTTTTAAGCACCTCACCCTACAGCACTGCCTGTAATGAAAGGAAGTGCAACAAAGTGTGAATACCATCATGAAAAGAAAGAAAAATATAGAAAACAGAATTCTCCAATTAAGCAACAGGACAAAGGTTTGCTTTTATGGCTGTAGAGGCAGAATGGACAGTTCAGAGTAGAAATATGTACCTTCACTGTTGACAATTATTGAAGCAGTTCCAGTAGCAGCATCTGCAGTCTGACCTACAAATGCTAAGAAAGGGAAAAGTTACAGCACGCATTAGTTCAATACATTACTTTCAGCCAATAGCATGTGATGCAGTTTAATTGAATTAAATCTCAAATGAACCCATAACCTCCAGCAATTTAAAAATGCTAATTACTCTTTCATGTGCAACAATGCCAGAGAAGCTAACAACAACAGAAAGTGTTAATTTACACCCACAAAACAGAAATGTGAGTCCAATGTTCTTTAATTTGGCTACATCTCTGCTTTAGAGAAAGCATGTTGTTTATACAGCCTTCTCAAGCACTCTACTCCTACATGCAAGTATTTCTTTTATCCAATGAAACAACAGAGGCGAGGCTAGAGAAAACAAAAATATTAAAACAGCACAGCATTTAGTTCTGTGTATATTTGCATTTCAGCAGTAATATTAACATGTGCTATGAAGGCACTGGTGAGGCTGTACATTTCCTCTTTGGGTTGCTAGTCAGTTAAATGAACTAGAAGTCTATTACAGGAGTAAATAAGGAACAATCTTTATGAGAACCTGTTTTCAGCTGTCAGCAAACTTGTCAAATACTAACCAGTGGTCTGAAACTTTCCATGACAGGTGGGTTTCCTTTAGGCAGAACTAGTACAAAACTGTCAAAAAAGTGTTTGTTTTCCCCAAGAAGTATATTTAAGAAAAAATACTGTTATATTTGAGACAAATTCTGACAACCTTTTGTTAAAGAAGCTCTGGTGTTCTATCAATTTAGAGTAGACCTGGCATTGGGCAAAAGTTGTCTTCTTTTTCCAGACATGCCTTTTGTGGCCAATTTAAAAATCTGCTCAAATCTGAACAAGGCTGAAAAAACACACAGCATCACGCTCATTCAGTTTTGCTGATGCATTGCAGGTACTTGCCCTGGAGGCAGCCTTATCTAGCTCAGAGTTACAAGGGTCAGAGCAGAACTTTCCTTGCAATTAGAGCTTCTTTGCACCATAAGCTAGGTCTGCAAGCTGAAACTGAAAGCAGACAATTTGTGTCTTCTGTGCTCTCAGTGCTCATCCTGCAGAGAACAAGCAGCATGAGCTTCAAGCTGCCCTAATCAAATGTAGGAAAGAGAGCAACACATCAGTAAAGGTCTAAACGGCCTGAGCACCACTAGTAGCTGATAGGTTGTGGAAAACAGGAAGACTGGGAAAAGGGAAAATTACAAAACAGATTGGAATTGGAAAGAAAAGGGGTAAGGTTGTATGTTGTGAAACAGAAGAGCAATGTAAACAAGAAAGACATATGACAAGGACTTCAGGATGTGAACGCTGGCAATTATTGCATTATAGCAAGGATTTTCATTCAGTACCCAGTATCCTTACATATAACAACAGAGATAGTCTAGACAAGGATTAAATGGAGATGAAAAGCCAGGGACTGAAATAAGACAGTACTAAGCAAACAGGTCTATGGACACTGAATCAGCCTTGCCTCCAAATCTTGGAACTTAATTTGGGATCCCAGACCTGCCTCACCAGCAGTACATCCCACTTTCCTCCAGGGCCGATTAACCTACGGGGTGACACTCTAACACTGCTTTGAGATATTTTAATGCTTTGAGATAATTTAAATTCAACCAGCAGAAATTTGTACCTTGGACATAAACATTCCACCTCTTCAACTGCCCTATCTAGGTATCAATGAAGTGCAATATGATGGAATTTCTGATTTTTTTTTTCC